GCCTCGGCGTTCCCGCCTGGCGTCTGCTCTCCGCGTGCCGTCGGAGGAGCGCGGTGCCGCTCAAGCGCCTTGGCAGAGCTTATGTGGTAAAGCGGGACGGGATCTCGGCGTTTCCCGGCTAGTTTGGTTTACTGAAAGCACGGAGCGCCGTTCGGGCGCCACGCCGCGCGGTCAGCTCTGCTGCGGGGCATGTACGTGTGGCCGCTGCTTGTGGCAGGAGCGAGGTGCTGTTTGAAGCCCGCACAAAATGCGAGTGTAGCGGCATGTGCACCGCAGAGTGTTGGAAGAAACTGGAAAAATCCAAGGTCGGCGTGATGATCAGCTCCCGAAACTAAAAAGCAGCACAACCACATTGTCTTTCCGGCGAGTGTGCAGTTTTACTGGGAATTTCAAGCACTGTTATTCCACTGTGCCAAGATATGCACTGAAAAAAATTATAGAAAGTAGTTTCATATTAGTAGTATTCATATTAATAAACCTACCTTGAATTACTGAATTCTTTCTTTTGCACACAGCTTTTTTTCTCCTGTAAGTATTTTAAACTCTTTGTTTGAACAAGATTTTTTTTTTGTTTACCTTAAGTAAATTTTATTTACTTATATGAGATAAGTCAGATTTATTGGTTCCACCCTTTAAGAAATCCAACTCCTGTAATCTCAGTGAAAGCATGTACTAGTGCCATTAGCCAGGAGAGAGTAACACTGTTGTGAGCTGTTGTGATTTTTCCCTTTCAATTCCGATTCTTATTCCATCAGGAGCGTGCCAGAGCCCACCGCAGTATGGCGATGGATCAGGAAACAATACCATTCCCGATTAGTAACAAGGATACAGTTATGCTCTCCCCACCCTTGCTTTAAAATTGTGCTTAGTTAAATGTGTATATGCCTAACAAAATCGTCGTCCTTGTATGTTTATTGCAGATCAGTCTGAAGGAAGAGCCACTTGTTTGTAGCCATTTGTTTGCCTATTTTTAACCCAGTGAGTAAAAGCTCTTTATACCCATAAGAAAAATTGTTATTAAATCTTTCAGTTTGATTAAAGATACTACTGGGCCGGCTGTCTTTCATCTTAAAATGAAATGAACTTAGATAATATCAGAATAGTCATTCTGGACTGATGGTTCTCACGGTAAAAATAGCAGGTGGAGGCTTTTTCCAGCAGGTCTGGTGCAGCTGCTCCCATACCATTTCATTATTGCTTCCTGCCCATACAGTGCGTCCAGGGTTTGGATATGAGCAGGCAAAACAAGCACGTAATTTAAGGTAAGAAATGCTAGCACAAGTTATTTTATGGTAACTGCCAGTTGTCTTGCATACCAATAGAAAAAAAGCAGCTCATTCCTGAGCTGTTTTATATTTTATTTAGTGGAAAATAAGATGGTGCACACCAGCAATTACTGAGGAATAGCTACTGCACTGCAAAACTCAAGCTCTAGTTTATATTAATCTGACTTGTTTTCTCAATCTAAACAGTACAAAGGTTGAGTCAAATTTATGTGCTGAAACTGCCAATATAATTAGGCTTAAATGACTTGGGAAAAATTCTCACACTTCATTTTTTCCACAAATATCTTAAGACTGAATTTGGTTCATTGGAAAAATACATTCAGAGCAGCTAAATGCTGTGGCAGTAGGTCTAGTAGGTAACTCACCATCAGTTTTAAAATGTCTCATGGATTTGCTTATCTACTTTATTATGTATACAATAAAAACAAAGTTATCTAAAAGACTCTCTGAGCATTCCTTCTCATGTTTCTCTCTGCCTCCTCATTCCTGTACTTCCATGCCCCAAAAAGGGGACTTTAAGAGTGCATGGGAGATGGAAGTTGAAGTAGTTCTGATTAAAGGGTTGAGAGAAGGTAGAACTGAGAGCTCCCAAGGACTCATGTATAGAGCAGCTAGAAATACCATTGAACTGTACTGAATTTTGTTGTTTCCTCATGAAACTTTTTTTTTTTTTTTTTTAAATGGCCAGGTCCTAAATACGGTTTTGTGGACAACGATCCAAAAGCTTAAATTCTGTGTGGACAAAAGCAGAAATCCAGATGTTTAACTCCTATGCTTTCATCTAGGTATCCCTTCTTGTATCAGGTAAGATGCAGTATTCTCCAGCAGTTTCTCTTTTAAGGTGTGGAGGTTTTATTGCGTTAATCTAATCTTGAAATAAAAGAAAACTATGATAATGCCAGCAGCAGTCTGCGAATTACAGTAAAGGCTTTGCACTGATCATAAAAAGCAAGCTCAATTACTGCTATAACATTCATATCTGATAGCAGCTTGAGAGATAGGAGAGCTGAAGGTTGATGACTACTGGGAAATGGGCTCTTTCAGTTAGTTTTGGCTGTTGTTTCCACTGTTTCTGATGGTTGTGTCTTCAAGCCTACAAGCTTACTCTGTTATCCCTTCCAGGGATGCTAACAGGGACACTTGGCCAAGTTTCAGGCAACAACACCGGGAAATCCTCAGCTTTCTACAAATACTGTCTATAACAAGACGGGTAACAGGTTTGCTTTAGGAAAAAGCGATTCCTTAATTACCCATTAAGGAAATTAATTTCCACTTAAGGAAAAAAAACTACTCTCTGTCCGTTTGTCATTCAGTAGCAAACCAGTCACGGTAGACAAGACACTGCAGCTGGGTTACAGCAGTCAGATGTGGCCACTACCAGCCTTCATTGTGGACATCCAGCCTTCGCTGATCGCTGGAAGATGATTAACACATGAACAGAGCAAGATGTAGAGCCAGACTAAAAAGCTTTAGAGCATCAACTGTATCAAGATTGTGATGTGTTTGACTGTCTCTTAAGACTGTCATTTAAAAACCTTTTTCCTTTGCCTGTGTTATTAAGCTGTCAGGTAGCTTCTCAATAGTGCATTGTTCAAATAAGCAAAGGGCCTTGTATTCATAGTCAAAGAAGGAACAGAGTTTTTAAAAAATGAAACAACACCAGAAAGCCTGTGCTGTAGTTCTTGAGTTCACTAAATGTTAATGTTAAAGCTTATCTGTCTACTCTGCATGCCTGATGTATTCTGGTTATGTAAATAGGCAGTTCGTTCCAAATTACCTTTACACAACAGAGTTGAAAAGATGTCCCAAGTTTTGTGTAAACCCAAAGATAATCCATTAAACTTAGCCAGGCTGTAACAGATGGATCTAGGTTTCATTGCTTCAGGTAATCCTGGAAAAGATAATTTCAAAGTTTTGCTCACCAGCAAAATGGTTACTGAAGACCTGGGATTTAAGCATACCTCAGTCTGTAAGAGTTCAGATCTGTATCTTCTATACCTAAGCCACTCTAGCGTGTACAACAACTGGGAAGAGTAATATCCCTTAAAAATCTGTTCTGTTGGAACTGAGCAGATTTAGGTTGGAGTAAAGGTGCCAGAAGAGGACAGAAGATCTTTGTGGTTAGCCTGTTTGTGCAAGAGGAGAAGGACCTGTATTCTACTCTCTCTTCCTAAAATTGTATAGTTATCAATAAGGTTGAAGAGAAAAGAAAATGTGGGATCAAATAAACTATTCTCTACCCTTTGCTTAAATTTTGTACCTGATAATTTTCTCAGGAAGGTACCTTGGGTTACTATAGTTCATGCAAATAGGATGGAAATTGTTTCATAAAATATTACACATTTTGTTTAACTCAGTAGTGCGTGAAGGCATGGGTACCCCCTGTTAAGCTTCACCTTACGTAAGTGCCAGATGGTTGTGGTTATACGTGGTTAGGTGTGTAAATAAAATATATAGTAGGTCTTAAATCAGTGTTCAAGATTGCCATAGAGTTATTGCCTAGTAATCTTTCTTCA